TGGTGGTGCCACGGGTTCCTCCGCAACTCTTTCGACCGGTACGGGATGCTGCAAATTTAAAAAGGGCCGAGAGGCTCTTTGCCGACGGTCGATCGTGTTTTGTCTCAAAAAGGGAGAGCCGACAACTATAGTATCCTCATCATTGGCAGGGACCCTAGCCTTGGCCATAAGCTTTGTGATAAGGGCAGGAAAGACTAGGCGTGAATGCGTCCTCTGAGAGGCGGCCAAAATGGATGCATGTATAATCGGCCCGAGGTCGATTGGCAACTCTCTCATGATGCAATAAAGGAAGACGCATCAATCCCGCGAGATTGTACTATCATGAACTGTGGGGATTAAGTTGTGTCGCAAAAACTAAAACCAAAGTCCCGCCTCCGTGTTGAGATGCCCGGCCAAAATGATTTGGCGCCGGTTGTCCCTCTACCAACCATGATCGGGGAGCGTAAGGAGGGATGCGATATCATCATTGACAACTTCTAAAGTCCCTTTCATAATTTGTGCAAACGAGCATTCTGGTGGTGGGATGAGTCCAAGGGCCGCATTAAGTTTAGGCCCCGACCAATCAACTTTCCTACCCCGAATATTCACCGAAATGCTCTTGGTGGTGCCAACGGCCGCGTAAAACTCGGTTACCCAAGATATGTTGGCCTTTAACGGGGCAACCACTATTTGCTCCCACTGCAAAGCCACCAAATGGTGCTTGATAGCCATAAAAGAGTTGACCAACCGTGGGTCAAAGGCCTATTCAAGAAGAATTCTATTATTTTTGATACGGTTGTACCTCTCTTGAAATGGGATCACCTTGTCTTTCTTTTTCTTTGGGGCTTGCTGCTTCTTCTGTTTTGCTGCCGCCTTTCTCTTTTTAGAAGGTTTTGGCTTGCTTACTTCCAAAACCTCCACTTCTGGAATTTCTTCTTCAAAATCCTCCCTTTCCTCCTCTTCCTCTGCCACATCTTCAGCATTTTCTAAGTCCTGGGCCATCTCATCCTCATAATCACTGTCTTCAGGCACTGGTTTTGGTATTGGTTGAGAAATAACAGACTCTGAACTTGAACTTTCAATACTTCCCGAGGAGGTTTATGTGTTCACAGTCTGCCCACTGGGGGCAGTGATTGGTAGTTCCTCAACCGGAAGTTCATTTTCTGTTTAAGTCACTAGGGGTTGCTGTGGTGATTCTTCTATTGACTCAGGAACAGAAAAAGGGAATAAATCCTCAGGATTAGTAGAAGCATTTTCTTCAAAGTCAAAATGGAACTCCTCCCCTAAGGTATCACTAAGGTTAAGGTTAAAATCGTGTATGGTGGGTTGGCCGAGTGGTGTGGAGGGAAGGGGAATAGGGGGATGTTGAGTGGGTGTGGGGTTAATCGGTGGTGGGATGGGGTTAGATAGAGGGGTGATAGATGGCGGTACAATTAGGGCTAGGAAAAGGGGTCTTGGCGTTGGATGGGGAAGGGTCACGGCGGTGGGCGATCGTAAAGTAGACGGACCGGCGCCGGTGGTGGTGGTGGTGTGAATAATGGTGGAAAGGGTAAAAATAATGGTAAATAGAGGAGGAGTTTGAGTGATACTAACCGGAGTGACGACGACATGGTACTCGTCGTAGTTGACCCGTACGGTGGATGACTGACCAGCATCGGCGGTTGATGAACGTCTTGCCGGCGAAGCAAAGGCAATGGGATCCGACGAAAGGGGCGCAGAATAGTGCATTGATGGAGCAACCGACGGTGCCACTGGAGCGGTGGATGATGCGTCGCCGGCAACGGTCCGACAAGTAGAGCGGCGAGTAGGCAGACGAGAAGAGGGCCGGTCGGTGGGGTTGTTCCTTGTTCTAGCCATGAAAAGAGAGAGGAGAAGATGAATAGTGAAACAAAAGTAATTTCCCCCCTTTTTATAGATAACCGATGAATAAAGCCTAGGTAACCGTCCCCTTTGCATGCAAAACCTTGGTGCAAAGACCTTTTGATTGAAAAAAAATGATGTCAAAGTACAAGTCAAATCCTTACACAAGCCTCCATTTTCAGAAAAAACCATCATTATTTTTTCAAAAAAATAAACCCAATTCTTTTTCTATTTTCCCTTTTTCTTTCCTTGGAAGATTCCTCAAAAACCCGCCAATATTCAAAAATTAACCAAAACCCACTTCAGAATGTGAGCATGAGATGTCTACTGTGAGTATACCTGCATGAAATAAACAAGAAGTACGAGAATTAAAAAAAAATATTTACACTATTTACAACAGAAGATTGAAAATCATTCAGAGAGATTTTTGGCGTGGGTCTTGCATTCCTTCTGGGAAGAAATACTTGACCCGATGCCCATTCACTTTAAAAAGTGTATTGTCTTGTGGGTTCAAGAGATCGATAGTTCCAAATTTTCCCACTTCAACAATAGTGAAAGGTCCCGACCATCTAGATTTGAGTTTTCCGGGGAAAGCCTCAACATAGAATTAAAAAGAAGCACTTTTTGACCTTTTTCAAAAATTCTCTGATTGATTCTACGATCATGCCACATTTTCGTTTTTTCTTTGTAAATTTTGGCATTCTCGTAGGCTTGGTACCTCCACTCTTCCAACTCATTGAGTTGGAGCTTTCTTTTCTCTCCCGCTAGAGTTGCATTTAAATTTAATTCCTTAATAGCCCAAAATGCCTTATACTCTAACTCCAACGGAAGGTGACAAGATTTTCCAAAAACAAGTTGGTACGGAGACATGCCCAATGGAGTCTTGAAAGCGATACCATAGGCCTAAAGTGCATCATCCAATTTAAGCAACCAATCTTTACGATGATTTGCTTAACCACTTTTTCTAAAATATTTTTTACTTCCCGATTCGAAAGTTCCGCAAGACCATTGGTTTACGGGTGGTAACCCGTGGCTACTTTATGTCGGATGTTGTACTTTTCAAGAGTGGTACTTAACACTTTGTTTATAAAATGAGTCCCTTCATCGCTTATCAATGCTCGGGGTGTTCCAAAACGAACAAAAATGTTTTTATGCAAAAATTCCACTACCGTTTTGGCATCATTTCTTGGGCAAGCTTTTGCTTCTATCCATTTGGAGACATAATCTACCGCAACCAAAATGTACTGATTGTGAAAAGACATGGGAAATGGTCCCATAAAGTCAATACCCCAAACATCGAAAATTTCGACTTCCAAAATATTGTTCAAGGGCATTTCATTTCTTTGGGACAAATTCCCCATGCGTTGGCATTGATCACAACTCTTCACAAATTCAAAAACATCTTTAAACATGGTGGGGCAAAAAAATCCGCTTTGTAAAATTTTAGCGGCCGTACGTTGTCCACCAAAGTGGCCTCCGTACGGTGATGCGTGACACTCCTTTAACAAAGCTTGGATTTCATCATCTGGGACACATTTTCTCAAAATTTGATCCGATCCCAATGTAAAAAGGGATGGATCGTCCCACAAATAATGCTTGCAATCGTGAAGAAATTTTTTAAACCGGTTTCCCTGAAAATGATATGGTTTAAGGCCACATGCAAGATAGTTGGCAATATCTGCATACCAAGGATTTTTTTTTAAAATTGTGTTGCATGGCCAAAACAAATTCATCCGGGAAAATTTCCTTAATTTCATGACTCCCCCACTTGATACATTTCCTTCAATTCTAGAAAGGTGATCGACCACTTGATTGTCACTTCCCTTTCGGTCAACAATCTSAAGATCAAATTMTTGCAATAAAAGAATCCATCTAATAAGTCGTGTTTTTGCATCAACTTTGTTAAATAAATACTTTATTGCAGAATGATCTGTATGAACGGTGACTTTGGTACCAATCAAGTATGAACGAAAACAATCAAAAGCAAATACTACCGCAAGTAATTCTTTTTTCGTGGTGGTATAATTTAATTGGGCTTCAATAAGAGTCTTACTTGCGTAGTATATGGGGTGAAAATTTTTATTTTGCCTTTGCCCCAAAACGGCACCCACGACCCAATCACTTGCGTCACACATTACCTCAAAAGGTAGGGACCAATCAGGAGTGATGATAATGGGTGCCGAGACAAGAGCATTCTTGATTGTTTCAAAAGCCTTTTTACAATCGGAGGTGAACTCAAAAGCTTGATCAACATGCAACAAGTTACATAAGAGTTTTGCAATTTTAGAAAAAACCTTAATAAATCATCGGTAAAAACCCGCATGCCCCAAAAAGCTACGAATGCCCTTGACCGAAGTAGGTTCGGGCAATTGCATTATCACCTCAATTTTAGCTTTGTCAACTTCCAAACCTTTCTTTGAAATCATGTGACCCAAAACAATTTCCTCTTGTACCATAAAATGACATTTTTCCCAATTTAAAATCAAGTCATGGGTCTCACATCTCTCCAAACTTTTTTTCAATTTTTCAAGGCAATTTTCGAAATTAGTGCCAATAACCGAAAAATTATCCATAAAAACTTCCACAGTGTCCTCAATCATATCCGAGAAAATTGACATCATACATCGTTGGAAAGTGGCCGGAGCATTACATAAGCCGAATGGCATACGTCGGAAAGCAAAAGTTCCAAAGGGACAAGTGAAAGTAGTTTTCTCTTGATCTTCGGGTGCAATATGGATTTGATTGTATCCCGAGTACCCATCCAAAAAAAAATAAAACTTCTTTCCGGCCAACCGATCTAGCATTTGGTCTATGAAAGGCAAAGGGAAGTGATMTTTCTTAGTAGCTAAGTTCAACTGTCTATAGTCCATACAAATCCTCCACCCGGTAATGGTTCTAGTTGGGATAAGTTCGTTTTTGTCGTTGGTGATTACCGTGGTACCACCTTTCTTAGGCACGCATTGTACCGGACTTACCCAACCGCTACTAGCAATGGGGTAAATAATACCCGCATCTAACCACTTCAAGATTTCCTTTTTAACCACTTCTTTCATGATTGGGTTTAGCCTTCTTTGAGGTTGTACCTTTCCAACACTATTTTCTTCCAATATGATATTATGTTGGCAAAGGGACGGACTTATTCCCCTAATATCAGCTATGGTCTAACCGAAAGTTTTCTTATGGTCTTTCAACAAATCTATCAACCTTTCCTCTTGTTCACTACTTAAGTTGGAAGAAATAATCACGGGCAATTTTTCTCCTTCGATAAGATATGCATACTTAAGATGTGAAGGCAGTGGTTTTAACTCCAAATCGGGTGCTTCTATAATGGACGGGGTTTGGGTTGGTATATCTTTAAAATCTAACTGTTCAAAGGCAGCTATGTCCTCAAGTAAGTCTTCTTCACAAATGTCTTCTGCCATGCCGACAGTGTCTCCACTGTGGACACAGTCTCTCCACTGTGGACACAGTCGATCAAACTTAGATCTAAATTTTCACCTACTGAGTAAATAGACGAACAGTCCTCAATCTCCCCATTGAACTTAAGAGTCTTAAACACATTGAAAGTTACCTGCTGGTCATTTACTCTCAAGGTCAACTCACCCTTTTGTACATCAATCAATGTCCTACCCGTAGCAATAAAGGGTCTCCCTAAGATGATCAGAACATTCCTATCGGCTTCATAATCTAACACTAGAAAGTCGGCTGGAAAGATGAATTTGTCCACTTTAACCAAGATGTCTTCAATTTTAYYTTTCGGATATGCCAAGGACCTATCCGCTAATTGCAAAGTCACGGTAGTAGGTCGAACTTCCCCAATTCCCAACTGATTAAAAATGGACAAAGGCATGAGATTTATACTTGCCCCAAGGTCACACAAAGCATGGCCTACCTCTTTCCCACCAATAGAGCACGGGATGGTGAAACTTCCCGGGTCTTTTAATTTTGGGGGAATTTTGCAAGTAAGAAGGGCACTACATTCCTTTGTCAAAGACACAGTCTCAAATTCACTAAGTCTTCTCTTTTTATTGAGGATGTCTTTCAAAAATTTAACATAACTAGGCACTTGCTCGAGAGCTTCTACCAAATGTATGTTAATGTGGAGTTGCTTAAAGATGTCCAATAACTTCTTAAACTGTACATCTACATTTTTGTCTTTCATCCTACCTTGTAACACCCCTAAAAATATGAGGCAAAAAGGACTGAAATATGAAACGAAAAATCGGAATTTTATAAAAAGAATTCACCCAACAGTACCGAGACGATAATTATCAACCTACTAATCTAGATTACTCTATATTTAGATTAAAGGCGGTATTTCTTTATATCTCCAAAWRTAWCGTATCACTAAAACAAACGCGACGCTCTAAAGTAATAAAGGCTTAATCTGCAAAAGAGTCTTTCACGAACCAACGCTCCTCTCATCCCTTTAGAGTCAAAGGAGTTGCATAATTCATGAATTGTAGCGATGGTGTGGAGGATCCTTATGTATAACCTATTCAAAATTCCACTTAGCTAATGTAATTTTGAGTAAGTTGTTACATAAGCATGCTTGAACTCACTATTATTACAAAATTATGATTGTGTTGGTACCGTATTATGTTGATCCCGTATTTCTTTTTCCCTATCCTACTCTCCGTCACTCTCTTGCTTACGCCTAGTACTCTAGAAGATGTTTAAGGCAGTATATGGAAATTTGAAGGAGACTTGTTTGTCTATATGTAGTGGATTAAGCAAAGAGATTAACCTATAAATGGAATGGGATGGATAATGATATGAAAAGGTCTTCGACACTTTTGCCAGCCATCTTTAACCCAGATGACTTGACTGCACCATAATCACTCATTTGGCAGAGGTCTTGACTATTATTGCACTGTGGGAAGAGACTCTTCAGTTAAACTTAAGAGGGTAATGGAATTAAATGATCTAGTATGGTGGGTCTTTTATGGATATTTTGCTTCTGGCTTGTTAATTGTTCACAGGATTGGAGACTTAACATGATGACTTAGTGACTGAGCACCTTCATGAAACCTTAGAGTTGCATTTGGATCAGTTTGGAGTATTTGTTATTTGAGTTATTTATGAAGTTTTTTTTTTAATCCAACCTGTTTTAAATATTGTCGGTTCGATGAGTACCAGTGAAGTTTAAGGGTTGAAGATATGTTGCACCTTGAAAGAATCTAATAGGTATTGATTGAAGCAGAGGGTTTAGTCTGAAAGCTACTGTCAGTAGACATAGACATTATGCTCGGAACACAAGGCTAAGGATGTGTCAATTGCATCATTTAGAAGTATTTTCAGGATTAGCTATATTTTGCTATCTAAGCTGGAATATTGTTGTCCATGAAGATAAATCATTGTGAAGTAATTGAGGTTAAGATATTGATGGGTATGGTAAATGGGGAAAATTTGAAGTCGAGCATATTCGCAAGGTGGTAAATGAGATTCTTATGGAATATTATATTTGAGATAAGCTATCTTAGGATTGTGGGTTAGCCCTGGAGAAGAATTGAGCTGCTATAGCAACATAAGTACCTCGGTAGCTGGGCCAAGAGCCTGGTGTAGGGAGACATGATGGAGCTGTGCGCAATAAGAGCATTAATCGATTGCAGGCTTGTAGCAAGACTTGTTATAAGCTATTAATCCTTCCTTCTTGTGAGAGATCTATACTTGGCCTACCATTTCAGTGTTTATTTGTTTATTATGGACTTCTTGATCAATACCCAATTAGTATGGAGTAAAATTTATGCTCACATGGGTTTCCTCTAACTGAACTCTTGTATTTGGTTATTACATTTATTCACTTGGTGCTAAACCTGTGAGGCTTTGCCCAAAGGTTACTGCTTCCTAATTTAGTTTAATTGATAATGATGTTCCACTAACATATGCTAAGTTTTACACTTTCCCTTCATTTCTTTTGTGTGTAGTTTCACGCCCTTGCTGGCCTTGCTTAATTTTTTTCTCCTTATTTTGAGTGGGCACTGAATATGAGCAGAATGGGAAGGATGTTGCTAGAAAAACTTTTGTTGTGCACGACTCTGGAAGTTAACCCTGTCAGAGTAGATTTGATTGGATGAGTAAGTCAATGAGAAAATGTCCAGAAGGTGGTGCCATGTTATATTAAACTTTTAATGTAGTATTGGAGACGATTTTATTGTGGTTATCGATCTTCCTCTATGGACTTACCTCACTATGTAGCATGTGGAAATAAGACATGTATTTGTGGTTTTTTTTCCTTGAACTGGAAATATGATGTTACATTTTTTTGGTTGAGAAATAGCATGCTGTCAGCATATGTACTTTTAATCGAATACTTTTGAGGTCTTACCTTGACTAAGATGACGTCTTCAATTTAGGTTGTTTCTATTACCTGCGGGCATCAGAATGATGTTTTAGACTAGGCAATGATTTTAGTCCAGCTTTACTTTTCACCATTAGTGGAAACGCCTCGTTTCTTTGTTGAACATTATCGAGAACTACTGAACATAGGTAGACTTTAGGTGTTGGAAAATCAAATTTGTTTTATGCTACGGACATTAGCTGAGATTACTTTCATGATTAGATGATTCAGAGTGATGTGTAGGAAAAACGAAGAGAATTTACATGTGACGTTCATTGATCTAGAAAATGCATATGATGGTGTATTGAGGAAAACGTCATGGTGAACTCTTAAATAGAAGAAATCCCCTATCGTGAGTTGGTTTGATTTGTTTCTATGTATGATGGGATGCCGAGTGAGAAAGCATGTGGGGTATAGATGTTATTTCCCTTGTATTATAGATAATATATTCATACTCCAATCCCATTACCATTTTTTATTTTCTTTTTTGGTGGAACATATCTATTAATGATTTGATTCATGTTACTCAGAGAGATCTTTGAACTATGGGAAAGATGATATTTTATGCACCCGCAATAATTGGAGCTATTTATATCTGCTATCACGATTACAATCTTACTCAATTCGATGGAGAATGACAGTGAGACTTCCTATGACTTACATGGCAGTATGTTAGGCCATGGAAAGACAACATGCATACAAAGTGAGTGTGGCAGAAATGTGAATGAGATGTTAAGCATAGAGGATATATTTGGTTAACTAGATTCTACCAACAAGAATTGATAAACTAATGAACATGATTGCTATAGGAGAGGAGTCAACGTGAATGTCAAGCTTTTAGTATTAGGTGGTAGGAAGTGCAACGAAGCTTAAAAACAACTTCGGTAGGACAGGGTAGAACTTGCTATGATTCTTTGTGTGTGTGCCTAACAGCATACATCTAGTATTTGACCTTTGATGCACAATAATATAAAAACTATGATTGTGAATTACCCTGCCATCCTGGAAAAAAAAGAGCAAATGTGGTGGCGGATGCTTTTAGTCGAAAAGAGTACGGTAAAGGGACGAAAGTTGTACTTACTAGAATCGATTTAGTGTCCAGTCTGATTGATCGGATTAAAGTGGCGCAATCCGAGGCACTTCTAGAAGAAAACCTCAGGAGCGAAGTAATGTTAAGACAACGCTTACTGTTGACAGAGGATGGCCGTGGCTTGAAGTTATTTCGAGGACGAAATTAAATTCAAGGAGGGGAGGATTGTAACACCCGAAATTTTACCCCTATTCCTTAGTAAGGTATGCGTTCTTTTTATACCTACGTTTTTTTTATGTTAGGAATTTAGACCTTTATAGTTTTCTTTTCTTTCTTTTTAGATCTTTATATATAAAAATAAAATAAAGTAAGAATGCATAAAAGAAAGAAAAGATGGGGGGTTGCCCCATGTGGATCCTCCTTATTTTGATAGGACTTTTCCCCTTTTACCTGAGAGTTTTTGTATGCTGTCTCCTCACCTTGATGAGTGGGGTAAAAAGGCTTTACTTTGGGAAGGGGGTCCCCTCATCACATGTATCAAGGAAAAAGAATAGGGAGAAGAGAAAAGGAGAGGTGAAATCATTCCTTTGCTGCAAGAAAACAGGTAAACGAAGCTGTTGGATTTTTGAAGAAGGAAACAGCAGCCTAGCTGTTGGTTTGAAGAAGGAAACAGCAGTCTTAGCTGCTGTTTGGTGCGAAGTTTTTCATCGTAGCTGCGGGTTTGAAGGAGAAGATAGCACTGTAGCGGCTGTCTGATCGCGCAACAGTCAGGAAACGGAACAGCAGCCAAGCTGCTGTTTGGCGAAGACAATAGGCAGGATCGAAGCAGTCTTCGCTGCTGGGTGACGTGCGCAGAAGGCCGAAAACGCAGCAGCTGTAACTGCTGTTTGGCGCACGCAACGGGCAGAAAACGCAGCAGTTTGACGCGCGCAAAAGGCCGAAAACGCAGCAGCCGTAGCTGCTGTTTGACGCGCGCAGCAGACAGATAACATAAGCAACAAGCAGAAGCTATGTGAGTTCAAATCAACCCTATATATTTATAATCTTATATGCTTTTGAAATGAAGTATTTTACCTATCCTATGCCTTAATTGCTGCACATATTCACTTAAGGGAAAATGGTTAGTCTTGGGTCAAAAGGATGCATTTGGGAATCTCTTTATTAAAGAAAAGTTGAATTTGGGGCAAATGACTTTAATCATTTAGTAAGATGCTTCTCACAATTTATTGTTGGTATTTGAACTTTAAAAGCTCCATGCCCGGTGTTTGGGATTCTTTACTTGAAATAAAGAATATTATGCTTGAGTTAAGGCCCACGTGAAACATTATTGTTAAATAAGTACTATTATGCCATGATACCCTATTTAAGTATTTTACCTTAATGTAACGAGTCATTAGGCGTGAAGAGTTGTTACATGTATTTTGAGTGAAGGATGACATAATATGGATTTAGGCATTGTGATCATTATGTAATTTCCATAATCACCTTCTAACTCCCACTCAGAAATAGGCATTGTGATCATTATGTAATTTTCGAGATAAAGAGCTTATGATCACGGCCGACTATATGACTGGTTAGGTTGATGTCAATGGTATTAAACCTGTAAGTGATGCTCTATAACGCTAATCTATGCTTACTTTGTGTTCGGTCATAGTTAGCGGTAAATCGGGCCTCCCCCATCATCTTCGGATGTTTTGACTCTCCTTTGTATTATTTATGACTCATTTTCTATATATATAAATATCGTACGATACTACGTCTTTATTTATATTTATATAGTGCATGTATATCG